GCATATCTTTCATAGCACCACGAAATCCGGATTAGACGAGAGTCCCGAGGTCATACTGCTCACATCTTTCAATACCAAAGCATATGATATGTGCTGGCTACTATTTGCAGTGTTAATAACAATTAAAGGTAATCCTTATCTCCGTGTGCTGAAAGGCTTCATATTTCCAGGCGAAATGCGTAAAGCAGTCATGTTGTTGTGACTGCCATGAACAAAGCTGATACAAGGAGGGCAATTTCGCTAGAGCATGCCTAGTCGAGTCGAGGTACGATAAAGCGTTCGATCTAGTAATATCACGTATAGTTTTATCACATAGAATGTTGATATTTCAAGTGAACATTTGGGGATAAAAAGCGATTTTCGAATTGATCGCTCCCACTTGGGCGACACACGTTTAAGACGTAGTCTGTTTGTGGACTGTTGGCGAGCACTGATTGCGACGAATATCACTAAACGTCCAGTTTAGTTGTATAAGTCATCGTTATCACCAAACCGATGCCTACCACGTGAATTCTGATGATCATTCATGCATTTTACGTCATTAGAGTTAGTAAAGTATTTTTTGGATTTTTTTTAACTAGAAACTGGTCACATCAATCAGATATATGCTGGGTTTTAACTCGGTCGTTTTATCTCAAATAAATAGTAATCGAATTGGTTATGGACTGATGTCGAGTAAATAAATAGTACAAACACGTTCGAAGACGTTTTGATTCATTTGATTGATGATGTGTATCAAGTATTCTGGACGTAGAAACCATGCTCGAGAAGCGTGTGCTCGGACTCACCATAGACATCGACCTTCAACTGACTACGGTTTTAAAGATCTCGCAAGGAAGGAAACCCACACCTAAGATCATCAATAATGATTAGTGTCTGTGAAAAACGGAATAAACTGATCCAAACATTAACCATTTCAGTTGATTGAGCCGTTCGGAAAAGATGATGACCGTCGACGGTGTTGCTCAGGGGTACGGGGTTGGAAGTCCGAAACCGAATAATCGCGCCTCGAGTCCTGACAGGGGCACAAAATGTACACACTGCTGAAGAGTCCCAAGCCGGAGGAAACAGCTGTCTAGTGCTATTCATCGATCATCGCATTTAAATACATTCAACTGCTGAGGAATTAACGATTTCTCAGAGTGAAACCCAACATCCTAGAGTATCAACAGTGCCCGGTGCCTGTGTCAATAACCGAATGGGCTAATCCAAATATTCACCATCTAAATACCTTATCGCTGTCTCGTGGGTTATGCTTTAGCAAGCGGGAGGTTGGGAAAGTGAATTCTTTATAAAATCACTTACTTTGGTTTGAGTAATTTTGTGATTTTGTGCCCATAAACAAATTTATTTTGCTCGGTGATGTGTTTGCATATTGAATTTTTTCACAGTCGGACTCATCTCTGTGTTTTGTCGCATACACGTCACATTTTAGTCAGTGAGATGACAAATATATTTTATTACTGGAGATACAGGGGGCCGAAAATAACCACTGACCTTTGTTAGTCCATCTCTCTCCGGTGGGCCCCACCATTGATCTTCAAAATTATCGTGTGGTTTCCACCACACTTGAACTGTCGTTTACTTCGTATTTTCTAATTTATTACTTCAGCTACCTATCAGCCACACTGATCCGTCCTCACATATTCTCTCTGAAGTTTATTCAATTTTCGCTGGTTGATTTGGTGATGTGGTGAACGCCCAATGTTATTTTTTCGCTATTTCAGGTAAAGCCCTTTGGAAACACCGGAGGTGTGCTGTTGAAACGCATGGTGAAGTCTCATTACAATTTTCCTACTCTTTGGGAGACGAGACCAATCGGACTGATCTACTGAAGTGATGTGTAAGCAAACCTTGGCGTGCATACTGCAACTCTAGAGTGTAAAACACTCTAATGGGATTGTATTGATAAAGCTCCAAAACTAACAGTAACCGAGGAAGTCAGGGAGAGTACAGATACATTTTTCCTCATCTCACCTAGTGTGTCCATCATGGATGAAGTATCCAAATGCGTAAAGAAAAAAATTTGCCTTTGCGAACAGAAAACATTTATGGTGCTTCCGACTGTTTCTGAAGAGTCCAAAATATGCTTTAGCAGTTCAGCCGATATTGATATATGGTGTAGAGACCTCACAATTACAAGAACAGGAAGTGAACAGACTATCTGTGTTTGAACACCACTATTTATGATACATTCCATGAGCCTCATAAACCAACCTGACAATGAATTCCGAGTTTAGGTGAGGAGTTTGAGACAATCATGGACACCCACCGGAGATAGTGTTTGACTTCCAAAGATTACGATGACTAGGGTAGGTGATTCACGTGACCTCGGATAAGGTTTCTTGAGTTTTGATGTTTTCCAAAGCCGTTAGTGAGTATAAGGATGTCAATGTTGATCAAACTAACATCTAGTATGGGGGTATAGAAAACCCCAGTTCAAGGGAATCGGGTCCAGTTAGTTTGGTGATCAGAGATATTGAGTGATAACACCAATTGTCATAAACAGTGTGGCTCATGCCTTAACTTTGTTTTCCGTTTGCCTCATTTCTTCCTGGCGTCGGACTTCCTGCACCTTCGTCTTCTTCCTTCCTTCAAATGAACAATCAAAAAGTGGCAATCGAGAAATATCACACGAATTCCCCAGATTTCTGGTTTGTTGGGCTAAAACTTGCGATGGCCTAGAGGAAAATCTGAGCATAAGAATACTAATCAATTTAAATAACGGAACCCACGTTATTTTAACAAACTAAAAAAACAAGGTACTAGCTATAACCAACCCGGGAGTAAAATCATTTAGGGACAAGAAAAGTGGATTTGACGATCAGATGAACATTTTAACACAATTTAGAACTGTGTGTTGGCTGATCAATAGGTCGATTTGTTCTGATGAATCAACATACTCTTCAAACGTGAATGGTCAACAAAAATCCCTCATTAACCCGGAATTATCGCTTTAAATAGTTTGAATTTCTCTGTAGACCTCAATATTTATTGATTTACCAGTGTAATTCGATCCATTCTATCGCATGATACTGCAACTGGAACGAGACCAGTAAAGCCAGCGATTTTAGTTGTAACGTATACATTTGCGCGCTGCCGTTTGTAGACTTGTTCACTCAGTAAAGGCGATTCTCAGAAAATAAGCTTTCAAGGTTGCGTGTAAGCTTGAATGCCTATTGACTGCTACGACAGGATTCGTTATAAAACATTTTGACGGTGGAGAAACCGAAAACTGCTCCTCTTTCTATGCAAATTCTCGTTTGATTCGACGACAAAAGGGATGGTGAGTGTATGGAACGACACAGAATAGGAAATCCCGGTCTTATTGTTCATCTTATCAAGTAATTTTGTCACATTAGACCCCAAACCGACTTTAAAACTACATATACACAAATCAGAACACAGTAATGACGATCAGAATTGCTGGTTTTATGATCNCTGGGACAGACAAATAACCCCCACCCACCCCTGTTGGAGATAACCAGGCAAACGTATCACCGATCTAGGCTTCATTTACTCAATTGTTTCTGTCACTTTGCAACGTGTACGGATAATATGTACAGTTTTTATGCTTCACCTTCATGCGTTTCATATGGACTTTTAATGTAACCGCTCAGAATCGGTACCAAAAATTCAAATGTAAAGCATTCTGACCTTTCATACGTCTTCAAATGATGCAGTACAAATCAACTGAAATTTGTGCACACCGAGAGACATACAAGTGCATAAAACAAAGCTTATCGTAAACAAATAAACGCTTGATAAAAAGAAAAATATGCTTTATTGTGGTTCTTGCAAACCCCTACAAATTCATACTCAAGGGCAATTTTGTTATTCAATGAATTGATTTCAACCTATCGCGTTCGAGGTGGTACGTAGCCGTAGTCGTACTACACTTTCATTTGCTCAACAAGAGATTAGATTGTATGATTGTTCACCTTTGGCATCTTGTACACACAAATAGTTCTTATTCTCCTATCACGGAAACTAAACAGAACATTGTGTTTATTAGAGATGATCTGTCTGCCACTAGACGATTTTTCATTCAGTCATTCTACTGCCCCTGTTTGTTTATTTCTCATCTTTTTTTTCAGATATATTGTCCGTTATTTTTATCCCATATCAAAAAAGAAAAAATTCGAGCGATGGGAAAAAATTGAGACATTAGGTTGATTTGTTGATTCCCACCCGTCTCAAGTCATTATATATGTATAACTGTTATGGTTTTGTCCAATTATGATTAACCAAGCTCAGGTTAACGAGCAGAATATATATATATATATACTAAATCTGCACTGTACCTAGGCATAATCTTATGAGCAAATATTGATCGGAATCAATTCAAACAACTAAAGTTAACTCTCTGAGCACTTGGGTTTCAACACCACACCTGAATCGGACTTCCTTGATCTAATTGAACGATAATAAGACCAGTCACATGATTGCAAAATAAGATCCAGTCTCTTTGAACAAATCCGTGGAATTGTCCCTTGACTATTAGTCAGTGGTGACTGTCACCGATCATGTGCTGTTTGTAACATTCTTTCAATAAAATCATCTGTGCAGTATGCGTCAATAAAATAATGTTTTCTTCAATTTGATCACTTCACATTCAATTACCTACCTGACAAATCGCCGAAGAACTGTCTCCGCTCTGGGGTCTACCAAAATTCGGATAGATAGGATGAAGTAGTGGACTACTCAGTGTGCATGTTTGTTCTTCCGAAGCAACTGACGAGGATGGTTTGAAATTAAATACAGGCACGGTAGTTGGTGTGTTTTTGACAGTGCTGTTCCCGTTACTGGGACCTAATTCACGATCGGTAAACACAGATGGTTGACCACATCGATCGGTCGAATGATTATGCCCCCGTGAGGTCAACTGGTATCCGGAATCGGAAGGATCTGGTCTCGGAGGCGGTTTGGTTGCACGACTGCCTGGAGCAAGTAACAGAAACGGGTCGATCGATGCAGGTCGAGGAACCCGTTTTCGTGTGGGAGGGAGCAAAGATGAGGCACGAGCTTTAACGCGCCCAATGGCTTCTGTTTCCGGATTAAAAGTAGGACAAGGGTACGGGGATAACGAGGGTGGATAATCGTACAACGATTCGCACATGATCGAGTTTGTGCGACTGGACTCCGCCACACGAGGTCCCGCCACACCGGGGACAGACTCGGATCGGATTGATTGTGGTGGAGTGGGATTGTATGGATTACGATTGTCCGAGGTCCTGTCTCCGTCTCCGAGATCGGAAGAACTACGATGATTCTGGTATGCGTAGGGATTATGATGTGCTTGTGGTTGACAAATCTCATCCCGCTGCGGTAGAACGGGGTGAAATGAGGCCGGACGAGTGGATGAGTGAGCCCAATCAGGTGTAGACTGTTGTGCGAATCTTGCTCGACCACAGATTTGGTGGTTCTGTTCACCTGATTGCGGGGTTAGCGGGCCCAAAGTTCCGGTACACCGCGCTCGGCGGTATTGCTCAAATAAATGACCGGTAATATCAACCGGGGACACATAGGATGATGCTTCAGGTCGGGAATCGTGACCGTTCGAGACGGCAAACAAATTGGGTTGCGGGAAGGACACAGAAGACGGGACACTTGCAGAGATCGAACCGTTGACGGGGACATTTTTGTTGTCGGTAGTNGATACTGGTGGCCGGAGTGACATTTTTTATAGTATTATTATTAATTTTATGATTCTGTGTCCTTAGAACTTTTGCATCCGGCAAACACATGCGTTCCTTCGGTCCATTCTCATGTGCACGTGGATCGGCTGATTTGGAACGTCGCTTGAAAGGATCCAAGATAAATGACAGTCTGCGATAGGCATTACGCCATTCCTTGGATCNGGCTTAGATTGTGTTTGCGAATTGGGCAATTCAATCTGACCACATTTGGTCTGAGCCGGACGACGGAGTGCGTAGAGTGGACCAGTTTTCGGTGTCTCGATTTGCATAGGCATGGCGAATCAAATTAAAAACGATTGGTCATAGGTTTCTGCCCGCATTTGCATTAGACGCTGAAAGCGGGATTGGAACAAACATACACTTCAGTAATGTTTTTCCTCGAATTAATGAATACGCGCTCATGGACGTGCATTAAATTACGCACAAAAGTACTGAAAATGAAGCGAAAAATACATAAACTAAAAAAGAATTAAAAACCACCCGCTCCACATTCTTTCATGAGTGCTTGATTTGCTGAAACGATTGTTCAGTGAGGCCAATAAATTCCAGGTACAAAAAATGGTCATATTTAACAAGATCCGCAATACGGATAGCTGGAATCCAATTGTGGTACACAAACACGCAACCGAACGGCCATTCTTTCTCTGTCTCGTTTAGGAAACTGTTAGGGTGTGTATAAGCTGACCGTAAAACATGGACGGTGGTTAGATATTATTTGACTAATCACAATTTTTGTCGACCGCAATCAGTGGCAATCAGTGTGCATTTATTTTATCTAGCTGATCAGATCATATTAGCAACAAAACCCTAGACGGTTCAGAAACGAATCTCAATTATTTATACTGCTACTTAGGACGTTGATATTGCTTTAAGGGGTTATGCTTTACCTAAACGTCGTCACTACTGCGAAGTATGTCGTGTCTCAGAGTCTTAGGTGTCCATTTGAAAAACCCTTTTTTTTTCTAGTTCTTCCTCTCATTCCCAAATCGGGCACGATGCCTCCTGGGAGATCACTAAGCGGTTAGAGACACTGAGCGATATGGCCGGGTGTCTGAAACAGTGGCGATCGGGCATTTACTCATTATTCTTGTAACCCCAGTCTATATTAATTCTACACCTTCACTTTGACTCTACTCTCAACATTCCAATCTTCATCTTGCTCTTCTGTTCAAATGGGCTGCCAAAAGACAGCAACCGAGACCGGTGCATGAAGTTGTATGGTTGGTGGTTGTGAAAAACTGAACTGAAAGTCAACCTGGGAGTGTAAGCAGATGTGTATCAATTTAACCCCGGTAGGATTAAGACAACAAGTATTGTGGCATCATCAAATCATGGACAACCACTGTGTCACAATCCTGTGATGGAACACACGAAATATTAGGGCATCAACCTCTAGCTACCAGCTACGTATACAGGTATGGAATTCGATTTAGGAGTAAGTGTAGACTGGGAAACAAGAGGTAACAGTGATAAACCAGGAAAATAAAGCAAGACAATTTAATTTTGTTAAATTTCACTTGCCACCACTACCGATTTTCAGTTTATGGTTCTGCACCAAACGTTGATACAGAATCCAATTTTTATTTCAATTAAATAGTTTGTTTCTTTTCAGACACAATATTTATTTGTGAGCAGTAGTATGTGTATCAACTACACAGTTGACGCAGAAATCACAGAAATCACAATTTTATGAACAAAATTGATGGTACTGAGAAAGGTGCCAGATCTGACCGAACCAAGTAATCATGAGCCACAAAATCACACGAATGAAGACTGGTTTACGTGAACGAGTGCAGTAGTTTGAACAATATGTTGAATGAATGAATGATGAAATGAATAAGTGACTTCAATTTAGGTATTTGACAGTTGACACTACCCCCAATGGTACAGATTGAAAGCTTGAACTGTCCGTTATCCACGTCGTTAGTTAGTTTTCTCTTCAGTTTATGCCCCCGCCCGGCCCTGCTCCTTGCTAAGGTGCTGTGATCAACAGCAGTGATTTTGTTTATTGTGATTCCCTTGTCTAGTAAACGAGTCAGTCTGAACATTAGGATCCTACCGATGCCCACAGTTGAATCGTAAAATGACTATCAAATCTGATTCACACTGTTTTCTCCCGGCCTCAATTCAGAGCAAACAAATATTCACTCAGCGTTCACGGAGAAATGTTCCCAATAAAAAAAAATCAGTGAAAGGGGAAAGCTCAAATGCATAGAATAATCAGTTTAAACAAAAAGCTGAATTCTTCATTGCACTGTGAATTGTATCAAGAATTTCTCATTGTCTGTTTTCGTTTGGTAAAAATAACTAGGATAGTTTTAAATGACAACACTCTGCACTCAGGAAACACCGTTAGCTTCTATCTCTCTCTCTCTCTCCCTCTCTCTCTCGCAATCTAACAACTCGTCAGTTTAGACTGGACTGTATTAAAATCTCCCATTCGGACGGATATCTCTGGATCACGTGCGAATGTTTAACCACTCTTTACGGCTGTAGGGAGTAGAATTTTGCCAGTATTTGGAATAATAGGAGTTTGTGCTCTGCTCCCCAGCCCGATTATCTAGATAGATGAAAGAAGGACTAGGAAGGGGACTAATTTGGATTGCACTTTCCCTCCACGTTTTCCATGAATGCACACTTTGTGTGTGTGTGTGATAAGTGACAACTTAATAAACCCCACAGTGCCCATTAGCGATGACAATAAATTGTGACCGGTAATTTATGATGTCCGTATTATGGATCCCGGGAGAATTTAGTGTGGTCACTTTGGCATTTTGGGTCGCAAAAAGCGGATGCACACTAAGTCGACAATAAAGTCATTAACCGTTCATTCCTCTTCATTTATCTGAATTTGTTGTAGCGATGTATATGTTTTTTTCTTGAGAGAAATTTCTGATTTCCAGTTTTCAGTTTGGATTAACTAATCCACCAATGAATTTAAGGTTTTCCACTTAGTCGGTTATTATTTAGGAATAGCTGAGTTCTCCAGAATGGGTTTTTCGAATCACCTGCATATTGGGAACTATAAGAAAACTAATAATAATTTCATTTGAAAACAACAACCCATGATTTCTGCGTTTGAATGCTTCACAAACCTTCAAGACGGACAATGCATCCAATCATGGGGTTGCCAATACAGTACAAGGGGAGAAGATGGATGACGAAAGTGGGATTAGAACCGAGGATAAATTACCTCAATGATCCACCACGGACGTCCACAAGTCGATGTCAACTGCCCCAAATAGAAACAGCCCACTATCAAACAATTTACTGAAAGAAAATAATATATCTGAAACTCCCAGTGTCCAGCAAATAATGCATAAGAACCATTACTATTTATAGACAACATGCTATCAGGATTTCGCGTCGGCAAGTGTTTCGTAAGAAATAAATTTGAACGATCAAGCGGTTTGTTTGAAAGTGACTTACTCAAATCAATCAAAGAAACTCTTACATACAAAGGATATATCACACGACAGTATTCTAACGATTTACATACCTAATCAATCAAACGTTCTTGATGCATACTTAAAATGAAGCTGTAAAATTAACATTCGAACCGGATTTTCATAAATTCGAGCTTTGAATAAACTAAATTAATTCGACCAACTCCGTGTATACACTATGACAGAAATAACCACAACTAAATAAAGTATCGAGTGATTACCAGACAGACTCCAGCTTTGTAGACTTCTTCGTTTTCCATTTGCATAATACTATAACTAATGAGTCACTGTCATTGTGTCGTGTTATTGTTTAGATAAATAGTAGTTTCCCAGAGGGACATTGTTGTTCTAAATTCAACAGGCAGAGAATTGTGAGGTATAAACCAGTTCACAGAGGTCTGATCACAAATTGGGGACTTGGGTCAGAAAAAGAAATGCATTGCCCCCCCCCCTGGTCATACAACGCCACATTCGACAGTCACTCTTTTGTGTACCTGTGAGTGTGTTTGGCTGTGATGACTCGAAGCTTATGTCCGCTTATGTCCAGAAGGACGGTGAATCTGATAGTCTGACTGTGCTGACAAGTCGAACAATGATTCACATCTTCTCCTTTTATCTTATACTCTAAGTACCGCCTATGTTGAGACACACACACACACACTCGCCCACCCACTGTGGATGGGGATAGAGTAGCGCAAGTGTGAACCGGATTCATTTCGTTGGTCATTTCGTTGCCAAGACTATATAGATGTGCGAGACAATGCGTTCATAAATTACGCACCGATACCGCGTGTTACACCTCAGCTAATCGACACCGAAAAATGGCTGATCCGAGTTCCGTACGCATCGTGGTAGGCAAACAGCTCGTGACCACCCTGGGGCACAGACTAAATTATTACACGGGACAATGTTCATCCCTATTTTTGACTGTAAACAGTCAAACCCTCGGTTTGTGCGTCTATGGGAATGCGAAACAAGTGAGCGGGAACTTCAAAACCGAATTCACCAAACACAACCAATCCACGTGTCCGGTGGCCAGGTTTCATGAGTAGAACATGGATGAGTGCGAAATGATCCAGGGTGTGTACTGGTGGAAACTAGAACTAGAATGGGAATCCCCGGGGATGGAATTATATATGAAAAATGGCGTGCACGAGATTCAGACAGTTACGAAATAAACATTTTACTGGATTTGGCAGAGATTAATCAACATTGTCTATTACTCTAAGCACAAGCCTTTGTGACACAATTCAGCCGTGCATTTTAGTTAGAAGCAAAATGCGAAATAAGTCGTGGATTAAACAAACTAATGACATTTTCTTCGTGGGTTTAATCTATCCCAATCAAACAGACGGATGCGAAATCCACTTAGACTAAGTGTTGTCCAAATAGGCGAGGTGAACAAACACCCGGCGGCTGTGCTTCATCTTTGTTGGACAATTCAAACTTGTTCTGTGCCAATGATTTATGCGGGAAACGAAAAACAACGAAAAAAGTGAAGATCCCTTCATACCAAATCAATATGTTGAACTGAA